ATTCGATTAATCAAATTAATTTGAGTCTTGTGTGAAAATTGAACTATGGTAATTGTTGAATTCTTTGTTTAACCAAATTCATATTTCTCAGTTGTTTTGATTTATGATAATCTGAGTTAACTATAATGTCTATTTAATCCTATGTTTTATGAAAACCCACTATCTTTTACTTCTGTTTGTTATATGCTCTTATGGTAACAACAATTAACCTCAGAGCATGTAATATGCGCATATGTTAGAAAAAAATTGATTTTATAAAAAGAAATATTTTTGGAAAATAATTTTAGAAAAATGGTCTCCACCTCTAGATCATTTCAATCCCCATATCCTTCACCAATAAAAACCCTTGAAATAATGTGTGATAAAATTTATATGGTGTAAATAGTTAGAATCGTTCTCGTGTGATCTTACGCCTCAACGAGGACCATTAGATTATATCTAACTAGGTTGAAGGCTCTGAATCATCAATAATTACTGATCTTGATGGCTGATCAGAACCTGAAGTGGGCCAGAGACAACGCCTATGATGTTGGGTCTGAGAGAGGAGAAAGGGGTGTACCTGCAAGGCACTTTGATGCTAAAGTAAGAATCAGGAAAGAGAGAGAGCAAGTACAAAATATGAGTATATCAGAGTGAATATTGGATATCTGACCCTCTCAAATGAGAGGGTTTTTATAGTGCCCCTAGTGCTTGGCCATTGCTCCCTATTTTTGGGGCGAGATAACTGTTTCCCAAAGAATAGGTAACTGCCAGAACTAGCCATTAAAACGGGAAAAGGTGCCCATAACTAGTCGTTGCTACGGGCAAGGGCATAGTTACGGGCACATGAGTGTTGGCTGTTTCTGGATGGTGGAACCGTGCATGATGGGCAAGGACTAACAAGGATAAATATCATGACCAATGGTAAACTGGCCAGCCTCCCTTGTTGGAGGGGAAGAAAGGTAAATGCTCCCCTCCCAAATTGGTTGGACTTAGGCAATTTGGTCGTTTTGGGAGCAGAAGTGGATTGGGCCACACCTAGCCGTTGGGCCAGTCCGGAATAGTAGCCCCCCAAGTCGTTGCTTCTGAGCATGAGAGTGATGACTTAAGGATAGTTCGCTTTCTGGGCAAGGTCGTCGCTAGCCGCAAAGATGGAGTTGTTACCTTCTGCCCAAAGGAATATGTGCCTGGGCATCTGTTACGCTGCTTGTCGGGGAGCTCGAGGTACGGGGAGACCAACAGTTGATGGGATCTGAAGAGTGGGAGTGCCAAGTAGGCCTCGATTTGTGTGCTACATTTAATGCGTAATGATGGCTAGGCTAGGGTCACGATGATGTTCTTAGCCTCGTGTGCTCGTGCACATGCCTGGAATTGCCTATAAATAGAGTGAGAGTCTGCTCATTTGCACTTTTCGCTCCTTTCTCTTCCTTCGTCTTCTGTTCGCTTTTCCCTGCCGTCCGTCACCGTCAAGCTTTGCCCGACCATCGTACAAGCACCGACCAGAGCCATTTAAACCTAGAAACTTCGTCCCTGACCATGTAAGTATGTTGATTCCTTGCTTGTTGTTTGTTTTGCTAATTTCTGTACTTTATATTGCATGCGGTTAGAGTTGCTACAAAGTAGTTTTAGGGCGTTTTCTGATGGCTGTTGGTGGCAGACGGTGGTTTGGCCATTTTTTCTATTGCTGGCGTCGTAGTGATTGTCAAGAATTTAGGACTTAGAAACTTGTAAGCTTTTAGCTGATCCTGGTATCGTAGCGACACAGTGGCGTTCATTGCCGGAGGGGAACCACAGATTCTGGTATGCTTATGAGCTTTCCGGTGGTTTCCTCTTGAAGGTTCTGGGTTTTATGCACGGGGGGACTTTTCCCCAAACGTGTCAAGGAGATCTCTCGGGAATTTCCTCGTTTGTTGGCTGTGCCATTTGAGTAGGGCTTAGGTCGGGGACGTTGTCCTTGGCCCTTCATGTGCCCTTTCACTTGACTAGCAGTGGAAGGGTAAATTTTATTTTGTTATCGAATTCACTTTTATCTTATGCTTTTCAGGTAAAGGAAATGTCGCACAGGGCGGAAGAAGAGCCTCTTAGAGACCTATCCGAGGAGAGCTCCTCGGAGGAAACTGAAACTGATGATGCTTTCACGCCTCCTGATGCTGGAGGGGTGTTCGCTGTAAGGACCTCTGCTGAAGATTGGTCTGTGGCCGAACCGATAGAGAACACCCCACTCTTTGCTTCTTATATTATGGGAGTTTTCCCCACAGCCGACGCCACTGATCTTGACGGCAGATCAGAACCTGAAGTAAGACAGAGACAGCGCCTGTGATTCTGGGTGTGAGAAAGGAAGATGAGGTATACCCGCAAGACACTTCGATGCTAAAGTAAGAATAAGACAAAAGAGAGAGCAAGTACAAAATATGAGTATATCATGGTGACTATTGGATATCTGACCTTCTTAAATGAGAGGGTTTTTATAGTGCCCCCAGCGCTTGGCTATTGGTCCTTATTTTTGGGGCGAGATAACCGTTTTTCGAAGAATAGGTAACTGTCAGAACTAGCCGTTGGAACGGGCAGATGTGTCCATAACTAGCCGTTGCTACGAGCAAGGGCGTAGTTACGGGCACAAACATCTTGGTTGTTTCTGGACGGTGGAACCGTGTGTGACGGGCAATGACTGACGAGGAAAAGTGTTGTGACCAATGATAAATTGGTCAGCCTCCCCTATTAGAGGGGTAGAAAGGTAAATGCTTCCCCCAAATTGGTTGGACTTAGACAATTGAACCGTTTTGAGAGTAGAAATAAATTGGGCTATGCCTATCCGTTAGATCAGTCCGAAACACTTACCACGCATATTCTTAAATTTAATCTCTTTATAAATGCTCTTGAACATGTAATCAATCAAAATAATATTTACAAAACACTAAACGATCTGCCATTAATAAGTTTTTATTATTTATTTAAATAACTTCAATTTGACAAATTTCACCTAATCTCTTTCAATTTAGTTAAAATTTTAATTAGTATATTCGCTCAATTTATACTTATAAAAACAAAAATGTAATATTACATCATAAATTAAATGTTACTATATAAAAAATACATTTATCATCGAATATGAAATTATTACTACATAAATGGAGTATTATTCTATGACAAAAATTATTTTTATTAACAACTTTTCTTTTATTAGTATTACAATCATTATTATATTAAAGAAAAGAAAAAGAAATCGGTGGAGTTTGTTAATCAGAAAAAAGCCATAAATTGATCCATCAGGCAAAATGCCGTCCATAAATTATCGCTATCACGGGATTGTGGAAAATTGAAAAAGTCCAAATGCCATGACATAATTTAATTTCATTTAGTCTTTTCTAATTTATTTATTTTTCATTTATTTATTTATTAAAAGAGGTTCCTGACATGGCAACGGACGCCGACACAAACAACCACCTCTCAGGTTATTATTAAACAAAACAATTTGACAATTCAATTATTAATTTATTAAATTCAGCTACCATCAAAGTTGAGGATCATGCTAACAGCTTTCTATATTTTCTTCAATTAAATAAACTAGTGAGTTACACCAACTACAAATAATAATAATCATATTTTCTTTTTAAATATACTAATGGAAACAATGATTACTCAAAACAAGTTTTTTTATCATACTTTCTCTTTGATAATAAAAGGACTAATGATAATTAAAAAAGTACAATTTTTAAATTAAAATATATATATTTTTTCATATAATTTTTTTTATAATAGATGGAATTTTGATATACATTTTTTAAAACACATTTTCAACTAAAAGAAATGCTTGTTTAATTTTTCCTATTAAAATTATAATTAATATTTGTTGACAACTGTTTATTCCCTTGCACACGCTTATTCCTCTCTCCGCGTTCCCCTTTGTTGAAATGGAAAGTGAGCTACAACTATGTTTTTTTTTTCATCAAATAATGAAATGTAGCTTTTTATTAGGTAAAAAAATGTAGGTTTTTTTAACCATGTAATAAGTCCGAAATATAATATTAAATTTTGTTGAAAAATTGAACGGACCATTTTAATGATAATAATATTTAATCAAAATCACATTTTTTTTCATTAAATTCAAGCTTGAATTTATTGAATAATTTGGATCAATAAAATAAAATGTAATTTGACAAGAAAAAAAAATCATAAATTGATCTATTTATCTTAATTAATTAATTTATGAATAACAAATAATTTTAAAATGGTGGATTCTTTTCATTACTTTTCATTTAATATTTTTATTTAATATTTACAATAATAAAAATAAATATATTATACACACAAAATTAGAAGTAGTGAATATTATGTTTTATAAGATGATATTTAATTTTTAAGATAATTAATTTTGTCATTTAAAAAAAATAGTTACATTCTATTTCTATATTATTTATGTATAATTTTTATTATAATTGGTTAAATTATACACTAAATAAGAATTTAATAAAAATGTTTTTTTTTCACTTTCATTTATACATTTTAATACTTTTTAATTGGTAAATTAGATAAATTATTTTGAGATGAAGAGAATTTTCTTAGTCTTGCATTTTTTTTGTACCACAAGAATAAATCACAAAATATAAAATTGACAAAACAAAAGTAAGAGATAAAAAATAAAAAAATAAAAATAAAAGAACCAAAAATAGAAACATTGAATATAAAAAAAAGGTGAGCCTAGAAGAAAAAAAAAAGAGAATCTGGTGGGCTTTGAGCTGTGATTTAGCTGTCTCTTAGATGAATTATTTCATCTCCACTCTCACACTCTCTCTCTTCACACACTCATATACACCTTCACACACAGTTCCAAATTTCCTAGAAACCAAATACATTTCTTCATCTTCTCTCTCCAAACATTCATAAGCTACCACATTTTCCATATCCGTTTCTCTCAGATCTCACAAACTCACAAAAACCCACTTCAAGAAAAGAAAAACATTAAACATTCACTAGTGTTTTTCTTTTTCTTCTTCTTTCTTTTTTCAGATGCCTCATGTGAGATGAGGAGAAAACAGCATTATTCGAATCCGTCGTGTGTTTTTGTTCTTCTTTTTTCATTCTTCCTAGGTTTAACGACACTAGTCTCTTCTTCTGTTGTTTCATCGTATCATGTCTCAGATGGATCCCTCACGGAAGCTGAAACGATGTACATCAAGCATCGACAGCTTCTTTACTACAGAGACGAGTTTGGCGATAGAGGTGAAAATGTTACGGTGGATCCTTCACTAGTATTTCAAAACGACCGCATCAAAAACGCTTACGTGGCGTTACAAGCTTGGAAACAAGCTATTCTTTCTGATCCAAACAATTGCACCGTTGATTGGGTGGGTTCCAATGTGTGCAGCTATAGTAATGTTTTCTGTGCACCCGCATTGGATAACCCTCAGATCCAAACGGTAGCCGGAATCGATCTTAATCACTGTGATATCGCCGGATATTTGCCGGAAGAGCTTGGCTTGTTAACTGATCTTGCTCTTTTTCATGTCAATACCAACCGGTTCTGTGGAACGGTTCCTCATAAATTTGAGAAGCTGAAAATCTTGTTCGAGTTGGATCTAAGTAATAACCGCTTCGCCGGGAAGTTTCCGGAGGTTGTTCTCCGGTTGCCGTTGTTGAAGTTTCTAGATCTGAGGTTCAATGAGTTTGAAGGTACGGTTCCAAAGGCGCTTTTTGATAAAGATTTGGATGCGATTTTCATCAATCATAACAGATTTGTTTTCGATTTACCGGATAATTTTGGTAATTCCCCGGTTTCGGTGATTGTTCTGGCGAATAACCGTTTCCACGGTTGTTTCCCGGCGGGAATTGGAAACATGACGAATTTGAACGAGATTATTGCGATGAATAACGGTTTACAATCGTGTTTGCCGGCGGAGATAGGGTTGTTGAAGAATTTGACGGTGTTTGATGTTAGTTTTAACAAATTGTTGGGGCCGTTGCCGGCGGCTATTGGAAATGCGGTGGGTTTGGAACAGTTGAACGTGGCGCATAATATGCTTTCTGGTCAGATTCCGGAGAGTATTTGTGCGTTGCCAAATTTGGAGAACTTTACTTATTCGTATAATTTCTTTACCGGAGAACCACCACGGTGTCTGTCTTTACCGGCTTTTGATGATGAACGTAACTGTTTGCCGGCGAGAAAGAATCAACGGTCGGCGAGGGAATGTAAGTCGTTTTCGTCTCACCCTATTGATTGCAGCTCTTTTAGGTGTAAAGCTTTTGTTCCTTCTTTGCCTTCACCACCACCTTCTCCCCCTGTTGTTGTTATTCCACAATCTCCTCCTCCACCTGTGCTTTCACCACCGCCGTCAGTTATCATCCCTCCACCTCCGCCTGTGTTGTCTCCACCACCTCCACCTCCGCCTGTGTTGTCTCCACCACCCCCACCTCCGCCTGTGTTGTCTCCACCACCTCCACCTCCACCAGTAAATCCACCGCCACCTCCTCCTCCATCACCGCCTCCTCCTTCACCGCCCCCACCACCTCCTCCAGTGTATTCTCCACCCCCGCCTCCACCAGTGTATTCCCCACCTCCACCTCCACCAGTGTATTCCCCACCACCACCTCCACCAGTGTATTCCCCACCACCACCTCCACCATCACCTCCACCACCTTCACCCCCACCACCCTCTCCACCTCCTCCAGTTTACCTACCACCTCCACCACCACCCCCACCCCCACCGCCACCTCCAGTAAGCTCACCACCTCCTCCAAGTCCTTCACCACCTCCCCCAAGTCCTTCACCACCCTATTGTGTTAGGTCTCCGCCACCTCCAGTCAATTCACCACCTCCACCACCCAATTCACCACCTCCACCAGCTCCTGTATTCTCCCCACCACCGCCTGTACCTTACTATTATAGCTCGCCGCCTCCACCACCATCTCAGTCTCCCCCACCACCCCCTCATTCGCCTCCCCCACCTCACTCTCCTCCACCACCTGTTTATCCATATTTATCACCACCACCACCTCCTCCAGTTCACTCACCTCCACCACCAGTCCATTCACCACCACCCCCATCTCCACCACCTTGTATAGAACCCCCACCACCACCTCCTCCTTGTGAAGAACAATCACCTCCACCACCACCCCATCAAACACCTTATCTCCCACCACCATCCCCATCACCGCCACCAGTCTATGCCTCACCACCACCACCACCACCAGTCTATGCCTCACCACCACCACCACCAGTCTATTCCTCTCCACCACCACCACCAACAGTCTATTCTTCACCTCCACCACCAGTTCATTACAATTCACCACCACCACCACCAGTCTATTCTTCACCTCCACCACCAATTCAATACAATTCACCACCACCACCTACACCTGTATATGAAGGGCCATTACCACCAGTCATTGGAGTCTCGTATGCATCGCCGCCACCACCACCCTTTTATTAATTCTTTTGAGAAGTTCTCCTCTTACCCCTTTACCCTCTCCACCACCAACCTTTATAACACACTTCAAAGTTCACATTTTTTATCAAATTCAGTCATATGCATGCATGAATGCGATGCTCATCGCATGTTAGGGGGAAATCAAATCAAATTACAATAAACCAAGAGAAAACCTAGAAGGGTTTTGTGTCAGGAAGCAACATAATTTAGTCCTTGTTTGTGGGTCAATAGATAAAAGGGAAGAAAAATGGTGAACATGAGGTTCTGGTGGATTGAGTAATATAGGTACGAGGAAAATGTCTCTGTCCCATATTGATTTGAATTGTTATGAATATTCAAGTTGTGTAATAAAATGGTTGAGAAAGAAGATTAGGTTTCAGAGGAAAAACATGTATCTATGGGAATGAATGAATTTGGAGACCATGACACCATAATTCAGGGCCTGCAAAGATCAGTGTGTGGCACTTTCTGCTACTGCTGCTGTTCTTGTTTGTGGAGTTTATTGTTATTGTCTCTTATATCATACTTTTTTTTACTTATTTTTTTATTTTTGTTTCTTTTGCATTGCAATTTATAGTATAATTTATGAACATTTTACTTGTATTGATTTTCTGAATTGAGGTTATTCCTTTCTCTTATCACTGTCTCAAATATTTCTCTGCTATCAGAATCTTCTGTATGCATGTTTTTGCTTCCCCTTTAATGTTTCTCTGTAGTCACCTTCCATATCTTGTGAGTTTTTCCATCTCTAATTTGTCTTTTAATTGAAAATATTCGAAATGGACTCTGAAGCACGATTCTGCTGACATCGACACATGTAATTACATTCTTATGCTAAAATTATGATCGAAGCGTAACAAAGAAATAAGTATGATGTTTATATATTTAATTTTCAAAGCAATAATTAAAGTAGAGCTAGTCCTTCAATCATGGTACTTTTAGTTTGAAATTGTCCTCAATCTTCTATCGAGGTCTCCACCACTGTCTAGTTTCACCATCTTAGTTTCAATGGTGGTGGGACCTTAATGTCCATCCCTAGAACCTTTGTTCATACAATTTAATTCTTAAAGGAGCCTTTTTCTTGCACTTGGTTAATATTATAATTCATTTAAGATTGCACTCCATGTGCACCGTTTGTCTTGATTTGAATTCAAATTTGTTTACTTTTCTCCTTTGAATTCTGACCATAAATACTGTTAAGCTTGTGAAATCTGAACCACATTAGGTTCAAATTTTTCTTCATTAAGACCCCTTTATCTTTTTGGAATACAAACATGATACTTGGCATATAATTTTGGCATTTGAAAATGAACGAAAATACACTAATTTGAAAATGTCCAAAGGTGTCGATACTATATAGTGTTTACATTTTTTTTACATAGCTTTTGCCTTTTGCTTTTTATTTGTTATGCCTCTTTTGTTTACCCCTAACTGCCTCTGTCCTAGAGTGGCAACTTAGACTAATCTACACATAAAAGTAAAAGTGAAGTTAGGCAAGATAAAAGTAAAAGTTCATAATTCAACTAACTAAAATCATGCTCTACTAATTCCCTCCTTTAACATTTTGAAGTCTATTTTGGTGAATAAGAACATCTAACCAATTAAATTAATGGAGATTAGAAGGGACATTTGGTTCCTTCTAAATTTCAAGACCATGTGAACTTGATGACACACATTCACAATAAAAATGGTTTAGTTGACTATTCACATTGAGCTTATAGATGAACTAACCATAGTTTGAATCCCACAACACACATTCGAATAGTAGCAATAAATCTTTAAGTACGACTAAATATATGTTCTTATTCACAATGAAATGTTCCTTCATCGATTGTTTTTCTCCTCACTCGTCATATTGTGTTTAAATTAGAATGCGGAAAAATGTAACCCTAGAGAGTCCGAGTTGTAGAGATATCGTGAGTCTCATGGCTCTATTATCAAAAACATTCCATACAACACCATTTAATATACACACCTAGTAAAGCAAAAAAGAAAAAGACTTCACCTTCTACAATTTCCAAAACCTAGAGGACAACTTTGGACCTCTAGTCACTTTCTCAACTATGGAAACCATGGTAAGTGTGATGAAAGTTCCATATACCTTGGCGGGTATGGCCTTTAAATTAATTCTCCAATAACCTTTGAGTTAGGGAAAAGGAAAAAAGTGAAAAAACTTAAAAGCACACAACTTCCACTTGTTATTGTAACCCTTGGATGAAAGGAAAAATAGGTAAAATGCAAAAGCATATCCCACCATCAAAGGCATAGTGGTGTCAATGTAAATGAAAAGGGCCCCTCCATGTATAAATTCACATGGGCTGTAAAGGCTCTCTTTTTTTCTTCACACCCAACATCCAATGAAAATATTTATGTTGGGAGGTTAGTTGACTTGTTCTATTGCCTCAACCGGAATATAACTACCATTTAATTAGGGTTCTAGGACAGCCTGTGGTTAGGTCAAGTATATTTAATGACATTTTCATATAAAGTGACTCTCATGATATTGACACCCATTAAGAACAGACAAGTCTATGTTTCAAGTAAGCTCATATATGCGGGAGTATATAGGAGAGGGTATCAAATTATACTAATTAATATTTAGGTAATGTTAAAACGTTTAATAATGTTTTAATAAATAAAAAATGTATATAATTAAATATTAAATTGAAAGCTTATATCATATAAACTATCTGTTGAATTCACTATGAAACTAATCTTTTGATGTAACATTATCTAATTAGTGTTGATGTAACATTATCTAATCCTAACACTAATGTTATTTGATAATTGTAATTAGGTTATTTGATCCTAATATAAGAAAGTGATATTGTAATTCAAAAAATTTATTTTATTTGACAAAAATGTCTTTAGATATACAAAGCAAAAGTATCAGTCTATTAGAAAGAATAATTGGTGCAAATAAATACAATACTAATTACAATAAATAAATCAATAAAATAGGAGATATACATGAACAAGATGCTATTGTAAAATTTTTGGAATCCTTGTGATTTGGTTATGGTCTAATACGCCCCATCAAGATGAAGGTACAATCAATGACTTTTATTTTGCTCGTAAGTTCTTGAAATTATGGTATTGGTAATGACTTTGTGAGAAGGTCAACAATTTGATCATTTGTTGACACATGACTAACTAAAAGTTTTCTGGCCTGAATCTGTTCTCGAACAAAATGGTAGTCCATGGATACATGTTTTATTCTTGAATGTAGAATTTGATTAGAACAAACATAGGTGGCTCAGACATTATCACATAACAACTTAGGTGGTTGAGATATCGTAATATACAATTCTAAAATAAGGTTGGTGAGCCACATGATTTTAGCGGTATGTGTAGCTACTACACAATGTTCTGCTTCTGCGGATGAGTGAGCTACTGTCTGTTGCTTTTTAGAGAGCCGTGAGATAGGATTACCACAAAAAAATATAAGATATGCAGACGTTGACGTGCGATCATCGGGATTGCCACCCCAATCAGCATCATTTAGATGATAAGTAGAAAGGAATGTGATTTCTTAAGCATGATACCAAAGTTAATGGTGGATTTGAGGTACATAAGTAACCTTTTAAGGTGCTGGAAGTGGAAGGTGGTAACTTTGTCCATGAATTGAGATAGTTTGTTGACAGCAAATGAGATATCGGATCGTGTGAGGTTTAGGTATTGCAAAGCACCTATGATTTTCCTGTATTGAATGGAATCAGTGGTGGGACTGTCATTATGCAGTGTGAGCATTGTAGTGGAAGAAAGAGGCGAGGGTGATGGTTTAGCATCAACCATGTCAAAAAATTTCCAAAATGTCATGTATATACTTGTGTCGTGAAAGAAACATTTCATCACCTCTAGGGATTAACTCAACTTCTAGAAAGTAGTGAGGGGTACCAATATTTTTAAGAGAGAACTGTTCGGACAAAGAGTTGATAAAATGAGTGAGAAACTTTGTTTTATTACCAATGAGTAAATGATCATCAACATAGACTAAGAAATAAGAAATGGTTGTACCTTTGTGATATATGAACAATGACTTCTTACTCATGTGAAACCCATTAGTAGTGATGAAGGTTTTGAGAGCATCATGCCATGCTCGTGGTTCTTGACGTAAATAATAGATGACTTTGTGAGGTTTACAAACATGATGGGGTTGTTGAGCATATTTCAAACCGGTTGGATGAGCTATGTAGACATCCTCCTCTAGAGTACCTTGGAGGAAAACATTGTTGATATCTAGTTGATGCATTCTCTGCTGATATACAAGTGTAATGGTGAGAAAAACTTTAATTGTTTGTGGCCGAATAATATGTGTAAATGTCTCTTTAAAATTTATTTGTGAACATTGCTTGTTTACTTTTGCAACTAGGTGGGCATTATATCTATAGATAGTTCCGTCTGAATTCCTTTTGATGCAAAACAACCATTTACATTCAATAATATTATAGTTAGAAGGTGGTGGAACTAGAGTCCACGTACCATTGCGCATTAATGCATAAAATTCTTCTGAAATGGCTTGTCTTCAATGAGGATGTTGCATGGCTTGTCTAATGTTTGACTATTCAAGATTCCCGAGTAATGAATGATGAGAGACATGGAAACATGTTTTTTTTTGCTTAAAAATTTTATTTTTTGATCTTGTTTGCATATGGTGACTAGTAGTGTCTGCACATTTTAATTAGTGGGAATTGATAATGAAGTTGAAGAAGAGTGATTATAACTTGATGAAGTGCGTGAACCTAAAGGAGCCTCATGGACTGAGTTGTTAGGCACGATGGGAAAGGGATTCAAAGGAGGCGTGTGTTTAGGAGTTGGAGGCGGGGTTCAGTTAGGTGATGGTTGGGAATGTAAAGGTAGGATAATGTGTGGTTCTAGAGCTATGTTAGGGATGTTGGAATGATGGTTGAGATTGAGTTAACAAGGGATTGATAAGGTTATATGTTTTCATAAAATTTGATATGTCAAGATGTATATATTTTATGAGTTATAGGATCAAGGCA